ATCGAGGGGCCCCCCCCCCCCCCCCTTTAAAAAAAAAGGGGGAAAAGGTTTAAAAGGTTGGGGCGGGGTTTTAAAAAGTCCCCCCCCCCCCCCCCCCTTTTTTCCCCGCGAAGAGTCCCTTTTGGAAAAGGGGGGCCAATGGTCTAACCGCTAAGGGCATGCAAAACATAAGAGTACGCCCCCCCCCCCCCCCGCCGCCGATGAGTACCCGTTTTTGATTTCACCCTCCCCCGTTTTTTCTTTCCACACTGAATACTTGACGCTGTGCTTCGCACGCTTGCTTGTTGTTCTGTCTTCCTTGTTTTTTTTTTCTTCAGGACGCTGCAGCAAACCCAGGAGATTACCAAGCAGGCGTTCGTCGTGGTGCAAGGGGGTTCCCACGTGGGCGCGGCGCTGCCCCCCCCCCCTCCCGGCCTGGAGCTGAAGAAGAAAAAAGGCCCAGGAACAGGCCAAGGCGGCCAAGATGAAGAGCGGGACGAACGCCGGGGCCGGGATGAAGCCCAGAGGAAGGCGAAACAAGAGAATTCTTTGTTTTTGGATTTGATGCGACGACTACGTCGCCGGGTGCCGCCGCCTTTGTTGCTTGGACACTGTGTAAGAGTAGGCGCGATCGCTGGAGTTTGTCGCAGGACGGGTATGTGTGTTTTGACCTTTGGTCCTCGTGTTTTCCTTATGCAGCAGCAAGCGATCGCTAAAGCTTGAAGCATGTGAAGGAGGTGTTTTGATGTGTTTTTCGGGTGGGTCAAGTGCTGTGCGCGGAGAAGCCGGTGATGGGAGAGAGAAAGAATTTGGTTTCGGTGCGATTTGATTCGGCGAGAACAAACACTCCGGGGTGATGATAATCGGAGCAAAATTTTCAGGGGGTTTACATGGCTCTCTGAGGAATAGAAAAAAGAAGATAAGAGTATTCAGAGGATTTTCATGGTTTTCTGAGAAGAGAAGAGAAGAGAGGAGAGAGAAAGTGGCACAAGAGTCGAGAATGGACACGTTAACAACGCTTTCGATGTCCGCCACGCACGTTGGGGACGTACTCCGCAAAAGATAACGGACGCAGAAGATCATGCGTGTTGGAGCAGGAAAAAAGAAAAAAGTGCATCTTGTTCTTGTTCGTTACTGATTCTGTCTTTGGCAAAACAAAGACAGAGGTGTAACGGTGTAGTTGTAGTGCTTGGGTTGACGTGCGACGGCTGTGGTTTCCCGGAGGCTACGAACTATGAGGCATGGCGTGACAATAGATAGTACGACAACGACAGGACATGCCATGGCACATGCCACATCCACACCAACCACGTGACGACATGTGTTGCTATCATGATGCTTTTTCGTCGTTCGCCACCATACGGTACAACAACCGGACGGGGTGTAAGAGGTACAAGCACTCCGAACGTGGTGGTTGCCTATCGGTCCCCAACCTGCTCTCATTTGACACGAGGCAGTGGTGATGGGGGGAGGTTATTTTGCTTTTCTAGTCTTGAGGCAATTGCCGGCTCTCCGTGCGGTCATTGACTTGATTTGACGCCGACCGGTGGCGGCGATATACCGCCGGCCAACATGCGTAAGCACGACTGACTGCCAAACTTTAACTTTCCAAGGCGTTGAAATACTCTTGCCTCTGTCTCTCGCCGATTCTTGCGAGACAAGCACACCTCCGTAGCTTCCCCGAGAGACCGATTGTCGTACGTGAAGTCTGGGCGCGACTTACGCATGCCCCTCCCCGCCAACGTGTTGTATTATCATGACACGTTTTCTTGTCTCCTAGCCCCACCCCTGGGACACAACACCGCTCGCTTCCTTTTTGTCTGGGAAGCAAACAACAAGGTTGGGCGCTGAACATGTTCAACATGCCAAACACCTGGACTCGACATCGACATTTCTTATGGCCCGCCCCCTGCAACAGCCACAGGCTCGCGGTTACGTCACACGCCCTTTGTGGGTCTTGCTACGTGACGTAAAACATCACCCCGCGTACGACAAAATTAGACCTTCTATCTCTCTACTGCCATGTAAATTCCAAAAAATTTGCCAAGTGTATTTACACCCGTTGAATCTGAATGTCAATCTCAAACGTGAGAGTGTACATATAACAATAACATTTGCTCTTCATTATTTACTATCTCAACGATTGGGCCCCAAAAACAAACGCAAATTCAATGGTACTCGAGGGGCGCGTACAAGAGGGCTGGAAATAAAAAACGGGCAAGTTGCCTAGAGTCCCGCATAACGTACGGCGTTGCCCGCAATGAACCGAGACAGAGGGTGCCGAGCTCTAAGACCCCTTTTTCAGGCGCTGGGCCATCTTCTCGTTAAAGTCTGAGTACAGAGAAAACCCTAAGCGCCCATGGGCCTTCTGCTGGTGCGAAAAGGGCCGGGTGGTGCGGGAAGACGGCTCGGTATCATCCCAGGCGTCGTTGAAGTCGAAACCGTCTGCCTCGCAGTGCGACCACTCGAACTTGTCGTACACGTACGACAAAGAGTTGGCTCTGGGATCCAGCGCCGCGAGGATTTCCCGGTTGGTGAGCATGTTTCCGAGGATGGGCTGCCCTCGGATGCCGGTTTTCACCTGGATGGGTACCCATACATATGTACAACGATAAGTAGCGAGGGTTAGGGGTTGGAGTCATGGATATGGTGAGGTTGGGGTACAGGATGGAGGGGGGGCGAGCTACAGTAGTGGGGTGGTTGGAAGAAATCCGGCGTCTAGTTAGACGGCAGGCAATGACGACACGTAATACGTGCGGGTTGGGAAGAGATGCCACCTACGAACGAACGTCGTCTTCATCGTGGTTGTCTTCACATCATTTCGATCTCTGCTCGAGGTGCCTTCTAAAGAGTACTACTGCGTGTATAGTGTATACATAGTTACACCATACCAAACAGCTCCAGATGTTCTCAGTGTGGTGAAAGCCGCAAACAACGTCCACTGGTTGAACTCCCCTCGATAAGGGTGGTCGTGGTTCTTCCTTCCGCACACACACACACACCTCGAAGCCGTCGGTGTCGGTGTCAAGCAGATAGTAGGGGAACACGTCGCTACCGTGATGCCCGATGCAGTGGTCGGAGTAGACGCTGGTGATCTCGGAGACGGTGGTGCCGTCGGCGAAGGTGACATTGGTGTCCGCGTCGGTCCAAAAAAAATCGTCGATTGATCCGGTCAGCACCGGAAACTGGTATAGGCGCTCCATGGTCGGGTGTATCGGCCAGAACAACGGGTCGTACGAAGAGCTCGACTGAAGAAACAGGTCGACAGCCGAAAACCAGGGTGTGGGAAGGGAGAGGGGGGGGGGGAGGGAAGAACGGAACAACGAACAACTGGGTAAGAGGCAAGAACGCAGATGATCGTGGTGGTGGCTGCTTTGGTGGGCACTCACACAAACGCAGTTATTTCGGTAGTAGGCGATGCCTTCGCTAGGTAGGGTCGGGACTCTACGGAGATCGCGGTAGGTCTGAGTAGTGGTACTGAGCGCCGTCGTTTCACGTTACACGCGCAAATACATCTGCTTGCAACAACCTGTGTGTGGGACCCGAAGTTGACAACGCCCGTGCAGAGCGTCTCCACGACCTTCCTTTGCGTAGTGTCATCGAAATCCCCAATGAGGTCTTCCAGGTATTCCATACTCTCCATGACGATCTTGTAGTCGCTGCCCTGTGTGAGGTCGTACCCGTGGCAGCCGCACTGGCCACTCGACAGGAGCTGCATGAACCGGTCGGTTGACATGCAGGCAAGAACAGGACGGAGAGCAGCGATTAGGAGAAGAACTTGGCCACGAGTCAAGCAAGCACACATGAGTCTGACCAGTTCAAGGGTGTCACCAGCCATGGCTCGACGACAAACAAACGGAAAAGATTCGCGAGACATCGACGCACAATCTATCATCAACACAGCTAGATCGAGCAACGAGTGTGCCCAGCGGGCCCCGTCTCGGTAAAACTAGCTCGAAATCTTTATTCGATGGAAGACATTCGTTGGGACGGACATGGATCGTGGGGGAGCCGTGCGGCACACACACACCACCGGTGGTATATATGTGCGTACCTCAGGCGGTTTCGTCTCTACGTCCGCGCGCCCATCGCAGTACCAAACGTCCTCGCAGAACAGGTTCCTGCGGTGGTAAATCACCAGGAGCGTGAGCGTCTCCGCGATAGAGTTCCCGACGAGCTCGCCGATCGCCTCGTACGTGCCGGCGCAGTCCATGGTTCCCCCGAGCCACAGGTGGAGCGGCGCGTGGGGGGCCTTCATGCTGTCCCACACCCAGTCGTAGAAGGTGTGGAACCCCGTTGTGAGCTCGTAGTGCGTCTGGCAGGTCGGCCACGCTAAGAGCTGGTCGGTGTTTAGCTGGCACAGCTGACCCAACCCACGCGTGAGGTATCTGTGTGATCCATGCATGTGTATCCAGGCGCGCGCGCGTTTGTGGGCAGAACGGGGCGTAGGGCGAATCACGTGTGTGTTTGTGAGGGGACTTAGCGTGCGGTGGTGACGCACCGGTCGCACAAGACACAAAGTAGCTGTACGCGCCCGACAACATCGTACTTTCCCTCAGAGGACGTCGCGAATCATGTGTATCTACCATATACATTCGCCGGGACCCCCCTGAGCGCGTGGTACTCACGCCCTGTCGTTCGTGTTCCAGGGAGCCCGAAGCTTGCCGTACACGTCCGGTTCGAGGCCACCCGGGTTGTTGTCTCTGACCTTGGGGATCTCCGACTTCGCCCATCGACCATCCTTCACCTAACGTAGTGGATGCGACAATGGTGTTGACTTTCGAAGAAATTTCCACCGCAAAGCTGGAGATAAAACATGTAATGGAGCAACTAGTGTATTTGCATTGTACGAGCGTTTCATGAACGTTGTATGAGCGCTTATTGGATATTTTAAATTTTCTTTGGATATGGATATTTGGCGACGTTGAGGGGTATTGAAGTAGCATGAAGGAAGATCGAATTCCCAGCCCCGCTCCTTCACTCTCCGAGTGGGCGCTGAGCGGACCTGGTCAAAGAAGGCTAAAACAAGAGATCAAACAACAACTGTGAGTACCCGAAGCCAGGAGCAACGAACTTGCTCCCTCCCCTCTTTTATTTCTCTGTTCCTCCATAACAAACACACGTGCTGGTTCGAAGAAACAAACGAATCATTTCTACTCAGGTGGTAGCGATTCGACTTGGATTACTGTCCTGTAGATCTCCGGCAAAAGCAACCAACCGCAACAAGGTACCGCAACAACTGTGCACCTTTGGCGCATTAAACACGCCTCCACCCACACACGAGGGGAGTCAGGAGCACGCCGTACCCTTTTCAAGGTTCAGCAACAACAACACGTACCGCGCTTTCGCGCATGAAACACGCCTCCACACGCGCGAGGGGAGTCAGGAGCACGCCCGTATACCCTTTTCACAGCGCGCCAGTCTGTGAAAATGCCGCCTTCTCGAATACAAAATATTTATCTCACCATGCCGTCGTCCAGGTCAGCGGTGCCGAACCAGGAAGCGTCCAGCAACGGCGTCCTCGTGTAAGGGGAAGCCGGGTCGTACACCGTCTCCGTCGAGGTGGAAGTCTCGATCGTGAAATCCCAGTACGGCACGGTGAGCTTCGGGTTCACGGCCTGCAGGCTGTACTCGAACGTGTTGGTGAGGACCGAGTGGCTCACCAGGAAGCCAAGGCCATCGTGAAACTGCAAGGAGAACAGGGAATGAATGTAGGCGGGTACCGCACCACACCCCATTCGTGGACAAAGGAATGGATGCGATTGGACGGAGGCTTGGGTGATAACCATGCGCATGTAGGAATGGGTGGGGTTGAACACAGACAAGGGCGATAGCCGCAGGCGAGCAACATCAAAAACAGCAGCAGGAGGGTGCTACGTATTGGCCCACTTTTTCGTCCCAAGCCACCTTCGAACGGTAGCCAAAATGAAGTGCCGAGCCAGGAAGTATATTTAGTTGACTCCAAAGCGTCTAGTTCTGGTGCACTGCTGGTGCCGGGTATGAAAGCTTTGAGCCTCTTGTCCGATCGAGACAACGAGGCGTCAGAGCCCTGGGGGGACGGTGGGGTACCTAGCAAGAACCTGGGTTGACCCCACGACTTTCTGTGAGGTATAGATCTACCGTAACCGCCTCCACATGACCCAGCACACCGCGTGATCCCAATAAGTTCCGTACGACGACTGTACAAGAGCTGTCAAGTACTAATGAGGGGGAACTCACGTGGTCGCAGGTGCCGTGCGTAGCAGCCTTGTGGTGTAGCCGGTTGATGGCGTAGATGTCAGCGTAGCCATCTCCGTACAGCTCCTTGCCGTTGCCGCCGTCAACTCTCACATCCCAGATCGTGAACATCTATCGAACGCAGAAAGTGTACCATGAAGGGTTCGGTGTCACCCAGCGTTTAATGCTGATAACTATGTACCACAACTTGCACAAACCCGAGACAACAACGCGCACAGCACGACAACAGACAAGATGCTAAGTACATACATGTAGTACGGGTGGCTAAGAATGAACACAACCAACCACAAACTGCATGTAGCAGCTAGCATTCCTCATCAACCACATGCTTCATGCTTGTGAGCTTGTGAGCGCGTCGACAAAACGTGGGATAATGCAAGGAGAAACGCGAGAGGGATTTTTCATGCATGCGTGTCGCATCAATACTCCCTCAACATGGTTTGCTATGTGGTCAGACTTCCGATCCGCTCTGCCATGACAACTGTATGCAAGACTGCAGGGCTGCTACACCAGTAGCAGAAGCACGGGAGCACGTGTTTCGTACATTGATCATTGGGCCAACGCAGGGCAGAACTACCTGAGTACGTACGAAAGGGTGCGTTTGTCTGTCTTACCGCATCCAACAATTCTTCTCGCTCGTCGTCCGTGAGCGACCGGATCTCTCGGCGAACGTACTTGACCATCACCGTCTCCTCCAGCCGCCGAACAACCTTCCCGTCGGCAACGTTGACCTCTTCCAAAGTGATCATGTTCTCTTCAAGGCTCGTAAGCACAACTTCTGCCACGGCGCCGGCCGCCTGAATCGGTGATGATTCTCCCCCACTGCTGCTGGTACAGCTGTCGCCTGTACATGTTGGTCGTACATCCCACCGATACTCGAACCCTTCCCGCGGAGCTTCTACGGCCAGGGTGGTCTCGCGGTGGGGTTCGACAAGCTTGAAGTCCTTAAGCCAGGGGTAGTCCTGCCCCGGCTTCCCGTCCCGCACGTGGTAGAAATTGAGAGCTGTGAAAGCTAGCGCCTGGTCAGACTCGCCCGATGATGACGCTCCTCCTGCTGCTGCTGCGTGTTCCTCGACAAATCTGGCTGTACGTTCTACATGTAGTTGTGATCTCTCGTTCCCCCCGTCGTTGCCCTCTCTGCTGTTAGCTCTGTAGTATCCCGCGAGGAGGGCAAACACACACAACACAGCAACGGTGACGTTCCTCGCTATCGGTAACCGTGACGGCTGGCGATCCGAGCTCGACTCCTCAAAGAGCCGGTGGTGCGGTCTCCGGGTGCAATCGTCCACGGCCCCGTATCTTCGGCGAGAAGGATACAGGGTCGAGCTACATTTTTTTTCGATATCCATGTCCCCACGGGTTCCCGTGGGAACGAGAACGTGGGTATCAGATGCCTATCTGGCACTCTGGCACTCTCCCGCGTTTTCTGTGTTCCCCGTGTCCAACACGAGAGAGATGCGTGCTTGTAGGCTTGTAGGAGTGTCCAAACGACCGCGACGGGTGAAATATCTTGGCCTGGGGATGGGGTGTTCACACGAAAAGAGGCGTGATCACATAGTCTAACGAAACCGTCGATCGACAGTCCCGACGTCCCGACTACGAATGAATGCACGTACACACGGAATCTATTAAGTCTTGGCTCCGCTTACCACGGCCCAGGCCAACACTTTTCAACCACAAGCCGGCTGCTGAATAAGTAGCCCGTGTGCGGTAGGTTGGGTTTGTTGTATGACGGGGACCTGCAGCGTATTGGATGCCACCCAGAACTTGCTAAAACGTAGAAACTAGCCACCATCCAGGCGCCGGCAGCACCACAGATCGCACACACCGCCGGTTGACCACGCCGAAACACGAGACCGCACCGCTCACCTCCCCAAGCTCCTGGGCCTCCCTCTCTCTCCGTCTCCGTCGGTCCTTCTGCTCCGCCTTCTTGTTTCCTTTCTGCTTGCGGTAAAGCTCCGTCCTCTTGGCTTTGTGGCCGATATTCCCTAGGGTTGTCTTCATCCTTACTTGGCCCTGCTTGTTTCCTCTTTGCTCCCCCTTGGCACCCGCTATGTGCCTGCGTGCCTACCTCGCTGTTTGGTTTACTACGCAGCAGCAATTGAAGTGCTATGTCGGCGGTCGGTGACTGGCCGTGAAGCGCCGCGATCAGCGATCAGCGATCCGGGTTTGGTTCGGGGAGATTCACCGCACTTATTTCCAGTATTTTCTGTCCATTATTTACCGCTACCATTATTACCGGTAGTTGCTTGCTTGGATCTCACGCTGGATCCTTTCGGGCACGGTCATTTGTACGTCGGTCTTTCCCGAGTTCGTAGGTCAGATGACATGATGATTTTGACTACCCACGACAGAATTAATCGTGATGGGTACGCCACGGTGAACAACGTTGTTTTCAACTCGCTGCTACGAAGTAACCGACCTGCTTGTGGTTGAGTCGTGTTGTAGATGAGGGTGGTATGTATGCGTGAGCAGAAACGAAAGAGGAAATGGACCACCCACTCACGTGGCGTCATTTTCTACCCCGGAGACTTCACGCAAAATCCTAAAAAGAAAATATTGAGGCCATCCAGTCTTTGCACGTTGCTCTGACACCAACTCGAAGTCCTGGTTTGGTCCGTTGCAGCACCTACCTGCAGCGTGTTTTGTGCAAGTACCTGGTAGACCAACCACCCATGACGGACCTACTCTCTGCCGTCTCGAGCAGTAGACTTGGAAGGAAGGACTTCGATGTGGGTGTTTGCTGGTGTGTGTCGCGTTGGGAGGCTCCGTCGCCCGAGGTTGCTAGGCGGGGGTGACACACTGCTGTACAGCAGCAGTAGACATACAGTCAGTTCGCAGCATTTTGGGACTCACGACCACGAACGACGATCCAAACCAGATCATTCTGGATCATTCACTGTCTGGATTTGACTCAGTGGCTCATGTGACACGCCATTCCAACATTCAGGGATCACGAAGTCTGCCCACTCTGATGGAGAGCGAAGCGTGCCAATCTTCTGTGTCATCGTTCTCTCTCTCATTGCTCCTGATGTCACATACGTTACGCAAGTCTTCTACCCCACGGGTACCCGGTCCAACCAAAAACACCGCCCATCTGGGGGCGTTGCTCTCACATTGCCGTTGTCTTGTCACTCTTGACATTTAATATTAGGAGTACAGATGTCTGGCTGTATTCATAGCTAATCTGGTCAACGTTCCACTCTTCAGCCGTCTCTACAGCAATAAACTACAAGCAGATAGCGACTGGAGGGGGGGATCCTGTCGAAAATGTTGCAGTGTCTGCCTCCGCCGTTATCAACACGCGTACTACGAAGAAACGAATGATGCCACCGCTCGTGTAGCGGTCGAATGGGGGGGTGAGTGAGCTTGCTCCTGCCAGACCTCCAAAAATCAAAACCCGGCGACCAACTGGCAGCGCCAAACTAAACTGTCTGGACCCACCGCATCCTGGGCCCCTACTGTTGCCAGAGGAATCTGTTTACGACCCTTTCCTCCCAACTCTCGCGCTTGTTTCATTTTCTTTCTCACAGAAACAAAACTTGTCATGCGCCCGGGCCGGCCTCAGTTCAACAACGAATGCTTGAAACCCAACACCATACCAATGATGTGCCGAACGATGCACGACAGAACAACAGCAATACTTTCACCCAAGGTTACGCCATCCCCGCAGCGTCACAGCACACATGCCAGCGATGCGGCCTGAAACACTTCTCAGTGAGCTAGCTCTGTTCAAGAGTCCACAACGGGGGTGCTGTTGTTCCCCCTCGTCTTTGGATCGAACCTCCCATGTGAATCGATAGGGTCCATTGTTGCGGTCTACGTCGTACCCTAAGGGAATGGATCTACTCTGTATCCCTTACACCAACAGCACCGCCTCGACGGCAAGTGTGTGCGGGGGGGTTATGTACACAGGGGACGAAGACAGGGCTGGAATGATCGATGCTACAAGATGCGGTCGCTGCTGTTCTCGCCGCTGCGGTTTTCCTCAGTTGTAGTCGACGGCTCTCTCAGCTCAGCAACCTCGCCCTGCTCAGTACAGTCCCCGACTGGCTGTTGTGCGAGGGAAGCGCTGGTCGTGGAAGCGGCGTCGTAAACACTGTATGAACGGAATTAGCAGTACATTCAACCAGAAATCACGCGCAGTGAACAGGCGGGGGGGGGGTTGTTAAAAACTGAAGCTTGCGCGGTAACGTTTCGCAAACGTCCTGCGACCGGCAGCGGTCGGCATGGCACGGCAATGCATGACTACATACAGACGTACCGGAAGCATGGGATCCATGCGTATGCGCGCAAAGGGTGCAGAAAGCAAGAAGAGATCTCTAGAAGCAATCCAGACCCGTTGGAAATAACCGCTTATGAGATTCTGCCTGCTGGTACGGGCGGGCGGTCAGTCTTTGGGCACCGCCGCCCGACCCACTCTCTCGTTCCCGCTCTCCTTGGGCTAACTCTTGCGGAAGAAGAGCGCCCGTCGCCCTCGGTAAGAAAGCAAAGCTCCCAACACCCAGTAGCACGACGTCCACAAGAGGAGGAAATCATCGTCTTCAGAATCGCTGTTCCAAACACCCTTCTTTTGTGTGTGTGTCATCTATATACTCTGGTGGTTGACTTTTTACACCTCACGGGTGTGGTTTTGAAGCCACCAGCGGGCATCACACACACACATGATGATTCCGTAGACCAAAACAAACTGCAAGCATGACTTGTTACTTGCAAGCACGAGATTATTGCTTCAAGCAGCGTAGTGTTACGGCTCGATGCAGTGAATGCCGTGCCGTGGACGCCGCGTTGTTGTGCTGAAAACACAGGAAACGCCCTCAACCCTACGATAACATCTACATACCTTTCCCCGCGACGTCTTCGGAAGAACTCTTCAATCGCGGCCTCGTCCCCGTCCCTCTCCCTCAACGCGTCCAGCCCCTTGTACTTGGCCTTGACGAGGCGATCTAGCTGAACAAGTCGAACTCGTCGGCGCTGAAGGATCGAAAAGTGGTGGGAATCGGGGGGGGGGGTCACGCATCATCACGCGTGAACAGACCCTCGCATGCCACAATTACGACAGCCAGGGGTGAAGAGGTGGGAGGTTGCCAACCTATTTTGTAAGGGATATATCCTGCCTGCTGATGTTCCTACGAGGTTTGAAACATGAGTCGGCCACCTGGTAGGTTGATTCGTTGGGGGGGGAGACAAAGGAGCTCACATTGATTGGTTTGTCTTCGAAACGGAAGGATGCCTTGAAAAAGCCGACGCAGTGGGCTTCGCAATTGCTCGGGTGCTCTTCTAAGCCTTGTTGCACACCAACATATAAAAAAAACACGAACACCGTCACCATCGTATCGCATGCTATTCCAAGCCTTGTTGCACACCAACATCGAACAACACTACAAACATCGTTGCTCGCATGCTCCACCAAGCCTTGTTGCACACCAACATCAAACAACACCACCACCAACAACAGGGAAGCTGTCGCAGATTGGTTGCTTTCGTGCAGCTTGTCGCGCACCTAGCTGTCGACAAAATCAACCACGTGGTTATATCCGGACGTGTACCCTCGCGTACCACCCCTCACCTGCTTGGCCTCTTCCGATGAAGGGCAGCTCTTCCCCAACTTAGATGGATCGGACTCGTAGGCAGCCTGACAGGAAACCGCGAGCGGGGAAAACAAGTGTTTCGACTTAAAGTGGGGACGCCGCGTTCCCCCCTGAACCTAGGTCTGGAACTGTCCGCATCACCCAATCAGAAGGCGTAATTGTTTTCTGTCTTTCGCAACACCGATTTTTTCTGTGCGCCCCCATGGGGGTTGAACACGAGAACGACATGGATGAAGCGTACAGAAACGATTGACTAATGCTGGCCCATAAATACTCACGCCACGATTGCAACCCAAACAAAACAAACAATGGTATCATCAACAAGATAAAGGCTACAGTACTTTGAGACACGAAAAGGAGAACCTAAGACGACGAGCCTAGGGACTAGGACGTGAGACGCTACTAATAAACCGAACTTTTGCCGGGTAAGAGAATGGTATCAGAAATGGTTTGTGTTAAAGGTTGCACACGACCGATCTCCGAAGACTGATCTCCGAACGGGAACTACAACGTCCGGTCCGGTCGCACAAAGCCGACAAACGAGTGACGTTCGGACTAATACGCCGGCCGAACCTTGATCCTCGAGCCCATGAGGGCAAAGAGGAAGAGGATGTCCTCGAGCCGACCACCCCGAGTAACCAATCCCGTCGCCTCCTCGAAGTCCTTCAGCACGAGGTACGTCGCTTTGAGCAAAACAAAAATGGGACAGAGACGACGAGCCGTCAACAAGCACGATGCATCAAGAACGCACGCGCCAACCAGGGGGTGGGCAGGCCCGGGTGCAACTGAGGCGTACCGTAGACCGGGCACAGCTGGGGGCTAGGATAGTAAAAGTATGATGTTGGTACCCCTTGCTGTCCCATCTGAGGGGCCTCTCTACCTCCGAACATCACGCACATCTTCCCTCCTGCCCTCTTCATTGGGGCCTGGTGGTACGGCCTACCCCCTTACACCCTGGGGAGGCCGCGCCGTTGGTATCAGCTGAGGGCGTATGGCTCTCCGGTCCATAGTACGCAACGTACTCTGTCGTTCGTTTTGGTGTCATCGTCAGGAAGCGGGATAATGCAAACACCGCGGAGAGTACACGCTGGTGCGTATCAAACAAATTTACAGGTTACTGGTGCTATCAAGAATTTTCTCTCTTGTTGTAAGCTTGGTGGCGACGTGATTGGGTTTTTGCACGATGTGGCGGCGGTGTCAGCTAGTCCAAAAACGGTTCAGGTGTCGGTATGCAAGGGTTTGTACGTACACGACGTGGCGGTAGTTTAGCTAGAGTGCAAGAACGGTACTGCTGCCGGTGTGCAAGGGTTTGTACACAACGTTGTGGTAAATTTAAGCTAGTGCCAAAACGATGTAGGGTACATTTGCAAGCTCATTCGTCATGGTTGTCATCGGCCGTTTTTTATTGGCCTGTCAGCCGGTGGTTCTCGAAGCACCTCTGTTCACGAGAGCAAAGACCTCCACAAAAGTAATTGCCCCGAAGACAGAGGAGGGGGGGGGGGGGGGGGGAGGCACCCGGGGGCCCGGTACATCTTACCCGAACAAGTTCGAGGGGGAAAACTTCAAAAAAATTTGGGACCAACCCTTCCCCAAAAAAAAAAAACGCCAAAAAGGGGTGGGAGCGACCCAACAAAAAACCAAAAGCGCCCCGACCCCCCGTAAGTCCCCCGGCCCCTGTCCCCACCTTAACTAGGGGTCCCCCCAACAAAACAGGGGGGGGGGGGAGAGGGGGTTGGCACCCCCCACCTTCTGGGGGGGAAATGGGGGCCCCCCCTTTTGGGGGCCCCCCCCAAAAATGGGTCCCGGGGGGGGGGTTCCGGAAGGCAAAGGGGGGGAATCCTTT